TTTTTCGGGAAAATTTTTTGGGGATATTTTTTTAGAGATATTTTTTGGGGATATTTTTCGGGAAAATTTTTTGGGGATATTTTTTGGGGAAATTTTTTGGGGAAATTTTTTGGGGAAATTTTTTTGGGGATATTTTTTGGGGATATTTTTTGGGGATATTTTTTGGGGAAAATTTCTTCGGGGAAATTTTTTGGGGAAATTTTTTGGGGAAATTTTTTGGGGAAATTTTTTTGGGGATATTTTTTCGGGAAAATTTTTGGGGAAATTTTTTGGGAAATTTTTGGGGATATTTTTTGGGGAAATTTTTCGGGAAAATTTTTCGGGGAATTTTTTGGGGAAAATTTTTTTGGGGAAATTTTTTGGGGAAATTTTTTTGGGGATATTTTCGGGGAAATTTTTCGGGGAAATTTTTTTGGGGAAATTTTTTTGGGGAAATTTTTTGGAGAAATATTTCGGGAAAATTTTCGGGGAAATTTTTCGGGGAAATTTTTCGGGGAAAATTTTCGGGGAAATTTTTTGGGGATATTTTTGGGAGAAATTTTTTGGGGATATTTTTCGGGGAAATTCTTCGCGGAAATTTTTTGGGGATTTTTTTTTGGGAAAATTTCTTGGGGAATTTTTTCGGGGATATTTTTCGGGGAAATTTTTGGGGGAATTTTTTTTGAGATCGGGTAAATTTGGTTCAAAATAAATTTCGGTGTTTTCAAAAAAAATTTTTGCTTTTAAATAAATTTTCCTGTTTTTTTTAATCGGGAATATTTTTTTTAAATCGGGGAAATTTATTTAAAAGCAAATAATTTTTTTTGAAAACAGGGAAATTTATTTGAAATCGGGGTAATTGCAACCTCTGTGAAAAGAGGTGAAAAAAAAATTTGTTTTATATTTAAGTAAGCGAGCAAAAAAATTGGGCATTTTCAAAATTGTGAATTTTTTTTAATTGGCAAATTTGGAATTTTTTGATTCGTGAAAATCTGTGATGGGCAAAACTTTTCCAAAAATTAATTGCACCATTCGACAGCAAAAAAAATCACTGATAACGATAGTAAAAAGAAATTTTAATTTTTTTGCATTTTTAAGGGGGTCGGTGCTGACTATACGTATAGTTCAAGGGCGAACAACCTTTTTAACCCACGGGTCAATTTAAATTTTGAAATTTTTTGGCGGGCCGCACGTAATTTTATATATACTAGCTGACCCGGCAAACGTTAAGCTAAGGTTAAACTAGTTAAAAATATTTATGTATATATTGATTGTTTCTTTTCTGAACAGTAAATCCAATAATAAAAAACAATTGTTTTTTGAAGATGTTTAATAACGACGTTTCGGTACTAGATACATTCCATCATTAGGTTTATTCTGTCAAAGACAATGTTTTTTAAAAACTATTGACTAATATTAATTAATGATGGTTATTACAGATTATTTAGAAAAATTATAAAGGAATGGATTATGTACCAGTGTAAAGAGTAAAGAAAAGTAACTAAAAAGGTTTTATATAAAATTGAGGAGCAAAAATTATTTACCTGTAATAATTTATATATCATATGCCTATCAGTAGGAATCGAAAGCTTCTTGAATCATGCAAATCGGTCGATCCGTGTCTCGAAAGTGGAAAATTGGTATTCGTCCTAATGAAAAACCGGATGAAAATTAGTATTCGTCCTGATTACATACATACATATTACTTACATCCAAACGCACATACACAAACATCCATTTTTTTAAGACACAAATGTTTAGAAACCTTTGAAACGTGAAGATAAGCAAAAAACATAATTCCGATTTTATGCGATACTATAACTTACCCCGCGAGAAGTTAAAACTGAAAATAAAATTTGTACTGATTATTAAAATTTTTGTAAAAATTCTGATAATTTGATGTGCAAATGTCCTTTGATCATTTTTGAATGGCACTTTTTTTGGATCACCAAAAACGCTCACTCTACCATCGCAAAAATTTAGTCATTCTTTATTTCGTTGCACAATTAAAATGTGTTTCGAATTTTTTAATCGGATAAAGAAAGGGGCTCTCTAAAAAATTGAATAGCTATTTTTTCATCATATGGCCCCCTATTCCGGAATGGGTAAACCTGTTTTTACCAAAAACTAATCAGCACATCTTTCCGGCAATTGAATCATTCAATCGGTTGATTGTCTCAAAAGCATCGACAAAAATGTAACCGCAAATACACATGCATAAATCTATTTTTCCTAAGGTATGCCAAAATGTTCGGAAGGTTTTACGTAAATAACTATAAACAATTGCGTTTACGTTTCGTTTTAGTATTAATATAAACTTACCCGTTATATTATGTTAATTCCCGAAATAAAATAAGAAACCCAGAATTTTTTTTTTTTTTTTTTTTGCATACTTTTATTGTCAATCAAAATAGAAATCATTTTTTAAGACAATGAGATGTTGGTGTTAATGCATAATAGAGATTATCTCCTATGAGATATCTCTCTTTTATTTTTTTATTTGACACATTTATTTAAGGTCGTATGGCCATTTTTTTACCCAGAAAATAAAATAAAACTATAAAGCGTTTTGTATGTAAGATTCACCTTAACAAAGTTGCAAAAAATGAACAGAGCTTCAATATTTCTCCAAAGGGCCAGGTGGCAAACAGGTGTTTCATTCTAAGGGTATTTTACAAAATTATTAAATTTTAACTAATGCTAAAACACAATCAACGAAAAAAATACTTTTATTATGGATTTTCAAAGATTACCGTTTATCTCCCGATAGCAAAGTCATAAGAATCAGGTTATAGTTGGTTATACATCTCTCTCTCCTTTCAAATATCGTTGTTAAACAATGCTTAACTTTACTGGTTTTGACACATCGGTGGTGGACCTTTTAACCCCGAACCTTTATATATTACTGTATCTATTCTTAGATAAATTCTAGGCAATTATAACTGGGAATATGTTATTCGACAAAATGACCCTTTGATCAATACCAGATTTAAGTTCTGAATTTAAATAACATAAATAAAAAATAATATAACCTAGAAAAGTTTTATAAATACAAATTATATAGTATATAATTATACAAATGAGATCTTTCAGAGCACCGTGTTTGAGAAAAATATGCCAAAAAGTGCATTTTCATATTAACATTTTGAAAAAGTTTATATTTTGAGTTTCTAGTAACACTTGCTATCCGTTTAATAACGTTTTTGTGTAATAACGTTTAATGACATCCTATTAAACGTAATTGAACATCATCTGTCAAAAACGTTTGACATTTGACGTATTAGCCATCGTCTATTGCTTTATTTAAATTACGCTTCTACAAAAGTTTTCAAATTAAAAATGTAAAGTTTCTACGCGATTTTGAAATAATATCTCACCTTTCCGACAACCTACTGATTAGCACGAATTTATCAAGACTAAGACTGGCCAAATCGGTTTAGACGTTTTCGAGTTTTAGCGGATCATTTTATCGAGAGCTTCATTTTTATATATAAGATATGTCTTAATAAAAAAAGTTTTTGAAAAAAATATGTGCAAAATCGAAAAGAATGTGTTTATTTGTTTCACATTTAATTAAATAATTGCAGCAGCTCAAAATATAATCTGAAATATTCATATTTATACAATTAAAGCAAATTAGAACATGAGCAAAAAATTAAATAAAAAGTCCAAAAAGTTTGTCATTTATCTATTTTATAGCCATGAAATTATCATAGACATTTTCTATACCCTTAGATTAATTTCTTATACATATTTATTTATAAAATAAACTAACTATATACAAGTGATTATATCTAAAGAATCTTTATATACTGTTATGCGACTAACAATATATGGTTGAAATAATATATGCTTACGATTTAAAAACACTTGTAAACATTCCATGTGGTCATGTCTTTCATTCTTGTCATTCTTTTATACGATTAATACAAATAGTACATTTTTTAAATATAATTTTTAGGTGGATCACATTTCACGTATGTAAACATTTTTTGAATATATAGTTTATTTACAATGATTTAAATTATTTTTTAAATATAATCATTATTTTGCTATTTTATTTTAATATTTACAATAATTGGTACACAGTTAATTCACTTTTTTACTATAAAACTGATTACAGAAGATTTGTATATATGAGCATGTCAAATATAAACAAGTATAAAATATGAAGAAATTGCCAAAAAGGTGTAATGATTAAACACAGTATATTAAGCAATAGAAATGAATATATGAAAAAATATAAAAGCCAAATGACTATTATTATAAACATATTAGAAATTGATGATTCAATTTATTTTCAACTCGCAATGTAAAATTTATATTAAGAATATTGTTTAAGCCGTTATTTTTGCTAATGATCAAATAAAATCCACTCTTCCGTTTAGTCAATCGACTTCAGCATTCAAAACTTTTTATTGGCTACTTATTGCATATGACTTTCTTATTCTATCAAATGTTTATATATAGTTCAGATAGTATTCTTTACATAATACTTAATTCCATCAAACTATTTTTCCAAATCCATCAAAATTTTACAATTAATAATACTCCTGTGCTTTTGTACACACAAATATATACTCATGAAAATAAATCATTGTGCTTCTAACATGAAAATTATGAGAGAAGACAATATTGTTCATTTCCCACTTGAAGTATTGTTGCTCCCAAATGATTTACGAGATACAGATTGTACAAAATTGCAACAAAACAATTATATTTGTGCAATGCAAGTGTGAAAATTTATTTTTCTCTCAGAACAGAAATGGTGTATTGCATTTGCTTCGATTTCATATAGAAATTATCTTCCACACATTGCATTCGAAACAAAAATACAATTCAATGATAAATAATCACTGTAATTCGTGTTTATTTTAACTGAAACTATTTCACTAGCACTTTTCTGAATTGTTTCGCACCTTTTTCGATTTTACTCATCTCCAATTGGTACTGGTGGAGCTGCCGAAATGCGAACAGAGCAACGCCAGTGCACAGTGCAGGGATAAAGACAGCGACAATGCGAGCGTCGGCGAAGCGGCACTCTTATTGCCATGCTGCATCGCTGCAGGATGTTCTCCTAAAACATAGTCATATATTAATTACGTTCATTCATCTGAAAGGAGCTTTATTTTACTCTAACCATAACTTTTTTTGTGCAAGACTGATATTTAACTACTCTATATAATGAATGTCAACATCTAACCAAAAGTGTGTTCGTTGCTAAATAAATTGAAGTTTATTTGTAAAAAATAATGATTTAATGAAAGATTAGATTGCTTGAGGACAGTTGGGGTACGCTCATGGCCTTAAATTGGGTAAGAGCGCTGGCCATACATGTCCTTGCGGTGTGAAATAATGTGGCCGGAAAGAATCTGATTTGGCATAATATGTGCGCCTTATTGAACCCATTTCTCACCATTGAGTTGCTGCAAATTAGATTGCACAAATGTCTGTGACATGTGAACATAACGAGCATTTGATACTTTAACAGCCGTTCCATTCTCTTCAAAGAAGTATGGTTTGAAAATGACATGACGTTAACATGCATTTACACCTCTTTCGAAACAATGGAAACTTAAATTTAATTAATTAGCCCTTCTATACGTCTTCTATACAAATCATAGAAGTAAAATCTGAATGGCATTAAAACAAATATTCCTTGCATACTGATATTATAATTTATTTTTCTAAATTATAAAGTAAAGTAACATCAATTACAAGAAGCATTCGCTTTAATTATTTTACGAAATTTGAGAATTTGTTACGTGATAAATTGAAAGATAAAATATTTAATTACTGAGCACAAAAATGAATTACTGAACAATAATACTAAATTATGATGATAATTATTACATAGAGTATAAGAAAATATTTGTCAGAATAAATTGATGAAAGTAATATTGTATAAATAATTTTTTCAAACAGACTAATTTCATTTTTCTCTAACAGCGTTGAAAATTGAATTTGTAGTCTTGAGTATGTATAGACATTGTTCCTGCGAATATTACAAGAAGTTATATATATATATATATATATATATATATATATATATATATATATATATACAGGGCCGGTCCTGCCTTGCATGCAATGCAAGCAAAAAATGCGGGCGCATGCCTTAGGGGGCGCCAAAACGAGTTTTGAAAATTAAATTTATAATATATTATTTATATTTTTATTATTTATATAAAATTTAGAATACTTTATAAATTATAATAAACAATCTAACTTAAGAAGGGACACACGGAGACACAATTAAAAAGCATATTTATTTTGCAATGTGATCAGTAGAAACAACTAATCAATTAATAACTCTGCAAAATAGTAAATAACAGCTCTGTTTATTGATTAATCCACTTATTCTATTTGTGCTTTATTCCAAGGTAACGTGGAATTAAAAAAGAAATTATCTAGTGTTCAATCCCATAAGCGCAAACCTGCAAAAGATTAAATTTTGACGCATTATTGACGAAAAATTGCAGGCTGATTTAAGCTCGAATCACACGGAGCTTGTTTTGCTGCTTTATGGCTCTGCTTGCCAGGTACCTGGCTGTAGAGGGTTCAAAATGACGTCATAGCGATCTCGGTTACTTGCCAGCATGCTGGATTTCAACATTAGAACGTGCGCTATTTTTCGTGCTGGATTTGCCCGCACGGACCAATCGGGAAGCAGTAGTTTGTCACATGGATCATCACGTGACGGCACTGCTGTCAAACTTGAAAAAAGAGTGCGACATATTTTGGAAATAGTTATGAAATCAATGTCGATTGATCGGTCTCGGGCAAAAACATATAGTTTTTTCAAATTTTATTTCATTTAGATAATTTAAAATAATATAAACGTAAATGATATTCAAAAACATTTTCTATTTCATTCAAGTATAAACATTTTTTTTTTTTTTTTTATATATAGAAACATTTTGATTTTAATTTATTTTAATTATTTCATTTATTGGAGAAATATTATTGAAAAATATATTTCTAAAATTAACAAAAAAAATTTTTAAATCATTTAATATTTAAAATTAAAATATATATTTATAAATTTTACTAAAACAATAATTAAATTTTTACAATATAATTTATTATTTGTATTCATAATAATAAAAATGATTTTATTTATTTTTAATAATAACATTTCAATAATTTTAATTCAGATTTATGAAAATTTAAATAAATTATATAACTTTCCAATTTTTTTAATTATTACATTAATTATCTCTTTACTATATTAATTTTATTGAATTGTTTTTATTAAAATTAATATTATTTCCTATGGTCTATATTAAACAGAAAAGGTAAAATAAAAGTATTGTTCTTAATCATTTGTGTAGAATTTCGAGGTTATATCGCACGGCATCGCTTAAAATCTAGTTTTTGTACAGATGCGTTGTTCATTTTTACCACTTTTAAGGTTATGTCGCACGCAACCGTTTCACTTACTAACCAACGCTCAAAAACAAGTCTCGTGTGATGCGTACGGCTTGAAAAATAGCATGATTTATAGCGCCGTCATCGGCGAAAAAATCGAGCGTGAAATCCAGCGTCAGAAAACAAGCCTCGTGTGATTCGGGCTTTAGTTGAAACAGAACTTGTTGAAAATATGAACAAATTGGGAGCCAGTGCTTAGAAAATAGAAAATAGCATGTTTATTCCGAGAAATCGAATTGTAACTCTTGTTTTTATTGCAAATGTTTTCATTCTGATGAACTAAATTGAATGTTGAAGATATGCGTGCTTAGGGTTATGGAAATGAAACAAAATTTACTGTGGAACGAAAATCTTGAAGCATTTTTAATATTGAGTGGTGTCTATACCCTAAATTTAATAATTTAACTATGCAGAAATAATACATACCAAATATAATTAGTTATTTTTTCAATATAGTTCAATTTGGACAATACTTTTAAAATACATTAAAAATTTAACTTTAAAACAACAAACTGATTCTCTGAATATGACGAGAAAGCAAGAATAAATACAATTCGGCTCTTACGATATCAATAAGGAGAAGTTTACGACGCAATTTTGGATATTGTAAATGATGAAAAATTAAATTAAATTAAATTTTAAAAAATCCAACATGAAATACGAGTGTTATGAGTTCTAGTTTTTTTTAGCTCTCTTAGCATGATTTGCTCAATAGAATAAATTGCACAATAAATAAGTGAAATGTTTTAAAACAAATATTAATATTGCACATACGTTGAAAATAATTGAAAATTTAAAAATATTTGATTGCAATCAACCCGCGAATCGCCTCGATTTTCTAAATAAATTTAAAATCAATGTATTTTATATGCTTTTGGATTATATCTAATTTTTCCGCACTAAATCCAGAATAATTAAAAATTAATTTTCAAAAAATATGTAAATATTTATATAATTTAAATGATAAACTGTTAACACAGGAAGCGCTAAGGACCCCAGGACCAGCCCTGTATATATATATATATATATATATATATATATATATATATGATTTAGTAATTAATTTTGATGTTGAAATATATGAGTGAGTTCTTGAGGGCGATACATCAAACAAAGAAATGCCAAAGATTTATAAAATAATCTTTATTTCCAAACGTTTCGACATTCAATTTAATGTCATCATCAGTGGATATTACGTTGGTTGGTTACATATAGAGAAGTGTACACAGCACTAGAGATTGGCACTAACATTTATAGGCAATAACATTTATAATAACAGATATATGCCTCGGGACTCGCAAAGTACAGAAGTCTTGACAGAAATTACATAATTCTACTTACATTTTTGTTCAATAAAACTATCATTTTTCTGTTTACATCATACAAAAAATGATAAAAAATGCATAGTGTTGACAAGTTAGTTGTATAAATGTTAATGCCAATCTCTAGTGCTGTGTACACTTCTCTATATGTAACCAACCAACGTAATATCCACTGATGATGACATTAAATTGAATGTCGAATCGTTTGGAAATAAAGATTATTTTATAAATCTTTGGCTTTTCTTTGTTTGATGTATCGCCCTCAAGAACTCACTCATATATATATATATATATATATATATATATATATATATATATATATAAAGCGAGAAGTTTTTCTTCAGATGGTGAAATAATATAATAAAATTGTTCTTGGGCATCCATCCAGTAATTAAAAACAGTTTTATTGAACGAAAATGTTTTTATTATGAAAACATACGTTTCAGATCTTGATTTGACCTGTCTTCAGTGCATACAAATAAATTGAAAAAAAACACACAAAAACACACGATTGCACAAAAAAATTATGAAACACAAATTGATAAACGCCGAGTTATAACAAATTTTAAATAATTGTAAAATTAAAATATGAATAAAAATAAATAATATATTTTGTTATAAAAAAACTTATTTCAAACGAAAAATGTTGTACGTTTGAAGTTTGTGTAACAAGTAAAAATATATATTTATGTGTGTATACAAATATAGCATACCGTTAATGACGTGTACATTAACGCTGGCTGGCGCAGCTATTGTCGGTATACAGCTATAGTTTCCTGAATCAGACGCTTGCGCCCTGGAAATAACGAGTCTCGATGTCAAGCCGTCCGTCCATTCAGTGGTAACGCTTACCCGAGCGGTAGTATCAAGATCGTTCGGATGTGGAACAGTTTCTTCTATTATATTAGGACCTAATCAAGCAGAAAATTCAATAAATCAAATAAATTATATGCTAACTTAAAATACAAGTTTCAATGAATACTATAAATAATCGATGACATTACCTCTGTACCAGTACATTGTTCCTAAATCATGAGGACCTTGGCTTATGACACATGTGAGTGTAACTGCACTGCCCGTTTTAACGTATAAATCCGTTGGACCGAGAATTCTAGCTTTTGCTTCTGAAAATATAATAATCATGTTTATCAATTTTGAACGAAATACTTGATTCGCACGGTTGCAATAAATATCAATTTTTTTTTTTAAACGAGTAAAATACCTTTTTGATATTATGAAAGCTAAAAACCTTAAAATTATTTAAAAAAAAATCAACTCAATATCTATTTTTTTGAAGAAGTTATAGATATATATATATCTCTATACGTATGATCCTCTGAAAGCGTTTTTTTATCGTTCCGCGAGCTATTGTATGCTAGCTGCCTCTTTTTCATTATAATACCTCATGCACATGACCTTTTTAATGAGTCAGCATCTTTGAACACCACGGTGTATTTTGTACATTAAATTAAATGGTGTATTTAGTACATTATATTAAAAACTTTAAATACGTTTTTTTTCAAATTGACTTTTTTCAATGCGGTGCCACAAATTAAAAAAAAAACTACAAGTCGGATCGACTTGCATTTTTTTTTAATTTGTTCACCACTGAAATACCTAGTCCCCCTGAAACCTTCTCGAAAACAACGGCCTTTTTGGACACTTTTTTTTAATAGCTGCCATTTTTTTTCTTCTTGCTTTTTTTTTCATTTTGGTAGGGGGAATGGATTCAAACTTCCTCTTCAACGTAGTTTCGTTTTTTTTTTTGTTTCAGGCGATGCGCAACGGATTTATCTATGGCACCGCAAACGAGATCGATTTTGCGATGCCCACTTTGGCTCCCCCTGGTTAAAATGTGACGGTGACAAAAAAAGAATAAAAAATTTCTTAATATTCTATGATTTTGTAATTTTTGTTTAAAAAAAACCGCATGTCTTTATGATAAATACATTTCGAGAAAAACAAAAACAAATACCTTGCATGTTTTGTAACAAAAAAAAGCACAACCCCCTTAAAACAACATTTTTAATATATTTTGGTACCAATAAACAACAACTATTATCTATGTCTGTATCACAGAGCACGACAGAAAACTTTTTATTTAAATGTCGACTTTTACCCAATTTTTAAAAGCCCATTTTTATCAAGGTACTTGAAATCTCAATGAGAGTGAAACCTAAAAACACGTTTAAAATACACATAAGATTATTTTTCTGCTCGCAGTAACCAATTTATATTTTCCATTTTAATAACTTCAAAGATTCATAGAAACTACGAAAAATGTAGATATAATTTCTAATCAATAAACTTGCATTTTTAACTTTTTTATTATTAATAAAAAATATCCACATTCAGTGGCGTCGGAACCGTGTGGGCTGTGTGGGCTTGAGCCCACCCATGAATTTTGATGAGGGGGCTCAGCCCACCCATCAATTTCAAAAAATTATATGGGCTAATATCTCTAAAAAAAAATGAGACCACTAGCTGTCTATCTAAAAAAAGAGTGCGCGTAAGGATCACACGCGATTGAAGTAAAACTTTTAATATTGTATGAGTAGGCAATTAAGATAAAAATAAAAAAACATCATATTTGAATTTTAAAAATCATCTTTTAATAATCATATAACATCAATAATAATAAGATCTCCTGAGCATCGGCACAGCTGTCCTACTGATATTAAAGTTTGAATATGATGTGAAGCTTTCTTCCTAATTTTGTTACCTATCTTACCGGGAAATTCAAACCATAAATGTAGAAGTTCATCATTATCGCCACGTTCTATGTACACTAATTTTCCCACACAACCATTAGCTAAGCCATCACTTACATCAATATTAGTTGTTATTATGTAAAATTATTCAGAACTAAAATTATTTCATACGGCAAAGCCCCGGTATCAATAACCGATTTTTTTGAAACTGCTGACGAATGTATGATTGTTGATCTGTCGCATGGCAACCTACATAAATATCCGTGGCAGTAGATATTATTTTGTCTTCAACGAGATTCAATATAAATTTATTATATTCCATGGCACATTTATTCTCTAAGAAAAGTCTTATTCCATGAGGACATAATACAGCAACCTCTTCTTTTGTAAAAAAAACGTGATTCAATTAATGCAAGTTCATATAGGGTTTAGCGCTCGACTTACGCATGACATGACGGGAGTGGATACTCGCGACATCAGCGCTTACGGCGTCGTAGTGTTCAACTACACGTTGGCATTTTCGTTGCATTTGTACGGATTTACACCCGTGTCGCGCCTAAAAATTTTTACACCCATATCGCGCCTAAAGAAGTTTTACTTCAAAAAAAAAAAAAAAAACGAGCCCACCCATCAAAAATTTGGTTCCGACGCCACTGTCCACATTCAATATTAAAATATGAAATTATAATGTCAAGTTTTTCTATAAAATACTTTAGATGTGGCTTTATTTATATATATAAAGCCACGTAAATGGCTACTCTTGTGAATAAAGGAAGGGAATTAATATTACTGCATTGACAATTTAAATTAATATATTATAACAAACAAAACATTATCTGATTAGATTAACTGAAGAAAACAAACACAAAATTTGTTTTACTATTTTCAAGGAACAGGGTAAAATATTCTTCTGATTCAGACATTTTTCATTAAATCAACATTTGTACTACGATGTAACTTTAAAATGTTTATGTACGCAAACAACGTTGAGTCAGTACGCATACAACGACAGATCTCTATTCACATATGCGACGACTAATCACAATCGACTCGTATAGGAATGATATCATCGAGAGCAAATGACGAATCATTGGCACTCGACTCTGCCGTAACGCACTTCCGTTGCATTTGTACGGATTTACACCATAGTCGCGCCTAAAAAAGTTTTACTTCAAAATTTGTTGCGCCCCCCCCCCCCCCTTTAATTTTTTCAACAGTTTAATTTAGTATTTACTAAACAGATATTATCAGACTATAAATTAATTTGCAATATTATGTGAAAATATGCATAAAATACAATTATTTTTTGTTTTTTTTTATATCAATTCAAATTTTTTGGTTTATTTTCAAAAATAGTATTCTGGAAAGTGCGTTCCGCACGCCTCTTGTAACGGTTCCGCGCCCCACAAGTTGGAAACCAATGCTATATATAAACAAAGACAAATTATATTATAACGCGCAAATTTAAAACCAGAACATGAATTGCAAATTCCTGGAAGGCTATTAGAAGTGCTGACATCTACAAGACTTGAAATCCGTTATCCCCATTCTTATCGAGGTTGATTTCCTCGTTATGAACAAACCCTCCAAAAGGTGCCTCTGTGAGTATCATCGAAGCTTTAGCATCGTACACGAATTCGAGGCATTCGAAATCGTTCATACATTCGCACTTTCGGCCTAAGCGAAGAGACAAGATAAATCGTAAAATGCTCCTAAATGATTAATTATAACGCATTGCGCCCAGGGTTCGGAAGGTTCTACATAGTTAATTAATGGCATTGTTCAGGCTTTTCAACACTCAACTGGCGGCAAAGCTTTATTGATTCCCGAATTAAAAATATACACCAAGTAATTTGTATAACTAGATATTTCAATGGAAGAGTACTCGTGTTCAATTTATATCTAACACCGATGCATATATATCGCTGAAGTTTTGCATACGCAAATTATATTTAAATGATTGTGTATTTTTGTAACGACTATTGTAAGCGTAAGTATAAAAAATGGTTAAGAGGTTAGGGGTACTTGGAGGTACAAAAAATGAGAACTTTCAGTAGTGTTTTTTGTTATTAAACGATTTTCTTTTACAAAAATTTTAATAAGGCATCATTATACAATGTTTTGACTTGACGTAACAAAAAATTCAGAAAAAATTTTTCCCAAAGTTAAAGTAAAAAACGGTCTTGGCGGTGACCGTCATAACTCCTTAGAGATTCATCTAAAATCAATCAAATAAAAAAATAGTTTTATAAATATATAAATGATCGAAGGTTTTTTTTTTTTCAAATATTAACAAAATGGTAGCATCAGAAATAAAATTTCTAGATTTTTGGGTAAAAAATCAACAGTTAATTGGTCTTAAAAAATTGAAATTTTTGAAATAATAAAACTCTTTCGATCAGGCCCGAGATTATTATGTATTCTAAAAGCTTATAAACTTCAATAAAATTTACTAAGCGGTTTTCGAGTTACAGTGGTCACCGGTTCAAAAAACATAGTTTTGAGAAAATCGCGTTTAAAGTTTTACATTGGATTTACGTACAGAAATTCGAATTATTGAATTACTTAAACCGAGTCATCTATTTCTGGGCCATATAATAGTTTATCAGTTATTGTGGAAGTTTCCAAAATTTCCATTTGCTGTTGCCTACGAAGCATTCTGGCCTCCTGAGTGTTCTCGTTGGCGCGCTGATCTGCCACTTTCAAACGTGCAGCATCCAATTTTTCGGCATACCAATGGGAATTATACCCACAATTAGGTCCTAGGATATCCATAATCAATAATAATGATTATATATACGTATTCAGCAATTTGTTTTAGGCATATTTTTTACACTAGTTGGTTGAAGCTTTTAATTTTTTCTGATTATGGATTCAATCTTGAACTACACATCTTGAAAGTAAATTATCATTTCCGAGATCGTCGTAAATCGGTTTAAAAGCTTTTAAAACATCAGGAGGTGAGGGAGAATAATCTTGAGTATAAGTATCCAGCTCTCCACTTGCGTCAGCGCGCTGGTAAAAGTCCAATAACTCAAAAAGTAATCATCGGATCAACTTGAAATTTTCACAAAACATTTTCAAGATATTACTCTTAATGAAAATGTAAAAAATATAAATCGATTTTTCAAAAATTCCAAGTACCCCTAACCCCTTAAGTAAATTGACATATTCAATTCGAATAAAAAAAAATATTGCAACATGCTATATAGCTTAATGTTTAATGCATTTATAATTTAAAATATAAGTATAAAGAATGTAATGAGCATTATATTGAATAAATTAAAAAAAATACACAATGCGATATTGAATATAGAACTTATTCATTTTACGTACAATTCATGTGCTTGTTCATGCTGTATTTAAGGTTTTCAATAGGGAAACATGACACGGTGGCCTTATTTAAAATTTGG